TCAATTGGTCAGTGATACAGTAATTAGGCAATTATCGTTTGTCAGGTTATGCGCGCGTAATTATGTGAAATTATAATCGATGACGATACAGCTACTGCCATAAAAATTGGGTGAGGGTGTGCAACCCGCTTCCCAAAGCCCTTACCCTATTTATTTGTGACCAATTTCTGCGATTTATGACTTTACCAAAAATTCGATACCCTATTTATGACCTGACCCTTAAATCAATACCCTGTTTCAGACGTGCGTTATAATTAGAAAGCTAGACCAATGTAACATTGCCATAAACATAACTTGTGAAGGGCTTTTGTTGATGGTCTTATTGATAATGATAAAAAAGTAGCTTTTCTTTAAAAACATACCCGTATCAAGACTAGAGTACAAAAACCATACCCTATTTATGACCAAAACGGTTGAATAACTGTATCTTTTGGGGCCGCACAATACCTATATAACCTATGTAAGGGAGTACCCCGCCCCCGTCAAAACTTATCTTAAATTTACACTGTAGCCCATTAGGTCAAACCATTTAAAATTATTTTTTGCTACTCTTTTTTAGAACGAACGTTCCTGTTTCAAGAAAAATGTCCGATGTACGCATGCCTAGAATACCTTCAGCACAGAAAACCGAGCTTTTGTCACCAGGTTCCAGATCTAACTCTGGATTTGCTAGCAGAGTACAGTCTGGAAAACACGAACTCCCGGGTAAGAGTGGCGAATTAGATGAAGACAGTTTGTGGATCATGGGTTTGACATTTTTCTCTGTTTGTTTCATAGAAATAAAAGACATGCAAACCACTGGGGCACTTCCAAGTTTGTCAGTTCTCAATATTGAGCTGAGATATGCTCGGTAGGCGTTCTTTGCTGTTGTTAAATTTGTGTTATTATACATGCACAGTGATAACATACATGATGTATACGGATACCCAAGTTGGGTCATTACAATTTAACTTACTACGCCTTTTCATAATACGATCGGCCATAAAAGTAAGGTAGTCGTGTGAACCGCCTGGTCGTTAAGGTTGGTTTCCCTTGCACAGTGTTATTGTATTAGTAATACGACACACGGATTTAGATGCTGGTTATAGGTTTCACCTGTTGTGCACGAATTTCGTATGTTTGTAAACTGGCAATTGAACAACTGGATTACAAGAAAGTCATACAGCTTTGGAATTAGTGCACGGCTTATCAAATAACGCAAAATTTTCAACTTACATGTAAGCAAGATTTAGTCAGGTATCAAGTGAAAGATGGTGGAAGACCATTTTAATTGTAAATGGGATGTCCTGTTTTAATGAATTTCACTGATCAGATTTGATAATTTGATTTAGTTTAACCCTTTACCCCCTAAGGCAATCGGCAGTTTTTCCCAAATCAGGAAATAAATACAGTCTGCCTGCCTACAAAATGCCATTTGAAAGCCACTAATCAGCTTATTTAAGAATTGACATCAGCAGCTATGAAGGAGGTAGACATTTTGAGAGAAATTGCTTTAAAATGGGAAAATGAACRACTTCAAAAATGTATCAATTTTCTACTATATTAGGTATACCCCTAAACTATAGCTTATTTAGCAGCTCTTAGTGCATAGCTTGATATGAAACAAGTCTTGGATGGGAGGGGGTCAAAATTTTATGACTTCAATGAGCAGATCTTCACAAGACAATTTTCATGGCAAAAATTCATAGAACTCTAACAAATATTCACAAAGTTATGACCTTGTGTGCCAATTTGCACTCTTACGGGGTAAAGGGTTAATAGTTTGAGCTTACGTTGTGGGTTTTGCCCTTCAAGTTAGCAAACTGTTGCTCTAATTTACTCAGTCCTTTGAAGCCAGAGAGTAACAAGCGAGATTTACAAACTAAGCTAACATCAGTTTATTTCCGTTTGCCTTCACAGAAATCTCCGCAGAGAGAAACAATTTCTACGAAATAGAAAGCTATCTTCGCAGCAACCTGTACCGCCTAACCATCGACTACGTCATCGACTCTCGAGCCCAGTTCTCACATATCAACGTAAGATTTCTCCGCCAACCACGCCCGACAGAGATGTTCGTCTTAGGTCCTCATCAACTAGTCAACTCCGAAGCTCTAGATTAGCATTACCTTCACGAGTGCCGCCATTAGGAGGAAAAAGAGCCTTGACACCAGAGCTTAGGTCGGTAACAACGCCGGAACAACTGGTGAAAGAGAATGTTTCGTTTCCGCCAGAAGTCGTTGACCTTGGTACGTATGAATATCGTGAATGTGAGTTCTTTGTTGTGGGAGGATATTAATGTGCAAATTTTCTCTATTTCGATATTTAATTTGTTATCTTGCTTTCCAGATTTGCTCCGGAAAGAAGGACTTCCTTCCGGTGGGCTAACTTCATCCGTGTTCTTATCGGAAGTAAGAGAAATCACGCCTCCCCCTCCATCTCCACGCGGGGCCTCACGTGGGACGTCACGCGGGTCATCACGCTCCTCGAAGAGCCAAGAAGACGCAGAACTGGAACCTAACCAGGCTCAATTTGGTGATAAAACAGACATGACACAGACGTTTACATCAATTCCGCGTTCCACATTTTGGATTCCTGTGGACGAAAACAGCACTGAAAAGGACGAGAGGCCCAGTATTCAAAGGAAAGGAGAATCGTCTTCAAACGGGACAAAATTCTACATTGATCTGGGTAACTTAGAGGCCCTGGCCTCGGGACAGTGTTCCTTATGCGGGGATTCCCTTCCCGAGGGATCACCCGTGTCGAGGAGAGGTTCGATTTCATCAAGTCCCGACAAAGAATTTTGCAAGTCTTGCAAACCTCGTCGGGGATCCAACGAGGACGTTTTCTGGATTCCATTTACGGACAAGAGAAAGGCATCTGCGAAGAAAAATCTTAACGGAGTCGAAAACGGAGATGATTCCCCAAAAGCGAGCGAAAGGAGAAAATCGAATGATAAAATTTCTGAGCAAAGTACAACAAAGGATCAGGCAAAGACAAGACAGCCAGAGCCAACTTCATCCAGTGCGGAAAATAGCTATGGTAAAGATCTTGTTTTGGCGGACAACACAAGCACACTGAAGATGCCGTCGTTCCCTGCCGATATGACGGGTTTTGATGTGTCATGTGTTTGCGATAACATCACTGGTGTGTGCTCGTGTACTATCGTGAAAAAAGATCTGCCTTCTCCATCGCCTGTTAGTGAAGAATCAACTCACACCAGGCCCGCAAATTCTGCAACTCCTGACACGGCCAATGCGACATTCGATACTGTGGATGCTGTGAAGACGGTTGGCGAGGTAAGCTCTCTTGACGAGTCCACTCTTGTTGCTCGGCCAATAAATGATTTTGCTTCTCCAACGCGTGCAGTGATTCCTTCTAACAGTAAACCACGAGCGAAAAAGGAACAATGGGACATGACATTGAAATCTTTCTCGGAAACTGATCTTCATAATCCTACAACCGCACAACGAAATAGTGAAGAAACCAAACATGGCTCCGGTGAGGCTCCCCAGAGCGTAACTTCACAAGGTGCTAAATTGCCATCCACCCAAGAGGCCCCAGACAAGGCCGATCCCAATGGACCTATGTCCAAAGCAGCAACAGAACCCAGTCCACCCAAACAGGCTTGGACGACACCGAGGTCTGAGGAGCCTGGCGCAAGCACTGTGGCTATTGTAAACCCATTTCCATCCCCTGTACCACCCATAGACAAGTCCGCTGTGCATCCTCCTATCGGACCCGCAGGCGATAGTAGAATTTCAAATAGAAAATTAACAGGGGTGAAGAAAGGAAAGAAATCAGTTGGGAAACCTGGTAGTAACTCGAAAAACGCCAAGCCAAGGACGAAAAACAAAGCTCCGGAGCAAAGCAACAAAGGTGGGAAAAAGAAAGGAAAAGGGAGAAAGAAGGGCGATATGAAGATGATCACGGTTCAACAAAGAGAAGCCGGAGAAGAACTCGGGTTGAGGACGATATCCCAGGGAGGTTTGGATGTCGCCGAGGAATCCATGCACCATCTTTCCACGTTCCGTCCTTTTAATGCCCGGATGTTTAAGGGGAAACACCCTATTTTAAGCCCGATACCGGAGTCCCCTCGGAGTACAAGAAATTCCCCTCGGGGTCCGAATACGGTAACTTCCCCACGGCTCGCTGACTTACCAGAGAGTCTAAGAGAGTGTAGTAAGGAAGTTAAAGAGGGGAATGCTAAAGGCTTTTCCGAAGTGGTAGCTACGGGCGGAGGAGATGCGGTGAATAACGAAGACGAAGCGCCGGAAGGTGAATTTGACGTTGTAGATGGAGGGATGTTAAATAGGTTCATTGGAATGTGTGTTCCACGGCTTAAGTTTGGTAAATCCGAATTAGAGTGTGATTCGGCGTCGGATGACGAGAGAACTGAACCGCTTCTTAAACATCCCCACGGGGGAGGGGATGAGGAGCAGCAGCGAGAACTTGTTGAAACTAGGTCTGCCGGGGAGGCGGACGATAGATGGAGTGTTCAGGAAGGGAGGGATCACCCACAGGTCATACAGGATGAAGCTGATGACGTCATGGAAGCGATCATCAGGCGCGGGCTTGATACCGAGCAAGAAAGAGAGACGATTGAGGCACAATCCGAGTTACGGAGTGTAATGGTCACGGGCGATTTTTTATCAAACGTAACAAGCCCTGCGAGTGTTAGTGTTGAAGAAGAATCAGTTTTAAGTTACCGATATTCTCGAGACGGCCTACCCGAGGTGTTGGCTGAGCCAGACGTGGCAAATGAAGAACTACCATCCTCTGAGACTAGTTCCTGTTCGGAACAGTACTCGGACACGGACTCTTCTTACAACAGTATTGGCTCGACCTCGCCGCGGCTTGTGTCGCCAGCTTCTTCGCTCAATAGCAGCGATACGTACTTCTCGTCGCCTCGTGACTCCTCGGACGCGGAAACACCCACGCCCGGCCGAGATATCAGCTCTGAAAACTCGATCGAGATCGCGTACTACGAGCGAATGGCAAGGGAAAAGTCGCGTGTCAGCAGCGGCAGCAGTAGCAGCAACTCCACCATCCGCACGCAGTCGACTGTGTCGCTTGGTAGTCTGGGTAATATTTCCCAGGGTTCCGTGGGGAGTTTCTCTGGTCCAGCGACTGAGAGCGTGGTGCGGAGTCGACTCAGTGCGTCTGTTCGGAGCCAGTCCTCTGAGAGTTACGAAGAGGAGATTGTTTGGAAGAAAGGGAACGTGTTAGGAAAAGGCGCATTTGGAACGGTAAGTTATTAAAATATCACGGATTAAAACGCGCAACAAAAAAGAATCTAGCACGGAAATGGCAGTTTTCATGATGGAGCTTTCCGAGTTTGATAAAAAGAAACCAGCCAACTAGCCTGCGAACGCAGACGTATTTCCGGCTGTCGCTTGTCTCCGCCGAAAATAACTTCTACGAACCCGAGCCAGGAAACGATTTCTGTGACGTAGGAATTTTAAGCCAATCACAGTTTAGCTCAAGTAGCCCCAGAACTACTGCGCGAGGTATTC